TAAGCAGTCGAAACGTCATGATCTACATCTAAAGTGGCTACATAGTGTGACAAACGATGATACACTTTATTATTGCATCTACCACGATGAATAACAACAACCTTTTCTTTGAAATTGTCACGTTGTCTGCTTCAGCGTATTACGGTGAAAACCAGCTTATGAGAACCTAGAATTTTCAAGGTCAGGCTGAACAGGTTCTTATATGTTAGGGTAATTTTTCACAATTCAGGCTGAATAGGTTCTTTTTTTTCAGAGGTTTTATATATTTTTTTTATTTCACATGGAGAAAACTGAGTGTTTGTTAACTGCATGGCTCATATGATAAAGCAATAAAGGTCCAAAAAGANTTTTTATTTCACATGGAGAAAACTGAGTGTTTGTTAACTGTATGGCTCATATGATAAAGCAATAAAGGTCCAAGAAGAGCATCAATACATTTGGATATTTGATTTAACAAGATATTTAGCTTTTAAATTGTTTATATTGCACTGCAACTTTATGGAAAACATATTTGTGAAAATCCAAAAAAATAAATCAATGCAAACATATAATTTGGAGAAGAAAAACACCATCTTCTTGAGCATGATACCCTCACACATGATTTTTGGCAAAGTTTCGGTTAAAAGTTGCTGTCAAATTTATTGATGGATCAAATTATACAGCCACCTTTGTTGTGTACAATAGTCTTTGATTTGGGAGCACTTGTTAGACTCCAAATGCAAAAGATCAGTTTATTGCTTTGCCACCCATTCAGTTCACAATGGTCAACCCTCTGATGAAATACCTTAGTTAGCAGAATTACCGCCAAAGAATTGTTTACAACCCATCAAATGACTGACTGACCAAGCAAATGAGTTATTTCTTCCCCAACAAACTGCTGTAACTCACTCTAGCTACACTTTCACATGTTGAAAAACTGCACTTGGAACGTTTTTTACATGAATAAGGGGAAAATCTAAAAGTGTCAATTCCTAGTTGATACAAACTAGGAGTGAGCAGGATTGGGGGCCTGTGACTACC